TCTAAACGTTTTGTAGTAAGAGTTCAGGAGAAGAGTTGAAAAACAGCAAGTCAAAATGCAAGTAGGACGAATAATAGACGACGCGAACATAGTGACTTCTTTCAATTCAATCAATCTGTTATTCAGTATAACACCACAGTGTACTTGTTATGAGTAGGTTCTACATAATCTGTAGGAATTAACAAATGAAAGTCCTTTCCTTACAAGATATTATCACGACATATGAAAGTATTTTCTAACAAACGGACACGCGTTGTATATATATATATATATATATATATATATATATATATATATATATATATATTTCCAAGACGAAGGGCATGTGTTTATGAATTCCGTTTAGTTGATAGGAACGGAAAATCATGGTGTTGTAAGACTTAATTTCAACTATACATGTAATTACTGAACATCTTAATTTATGAACCATGTGAAGCAAAAAATAACTTCACAATGGAATTTGATGGTAATTCGTGGTTCAACAAACTCTATTAACTAGATCTTTACGTTTACAAGAAACACGCATTAAAATGAAGCAAATGTCCGTTCAATAAACTAATAACTAACAACACAGTCAAAATTTGTTCGGGATGTTAGATTCCCAGAACCTACTTTGTAAATGCCTTATTTTTTTAATATTGATATGACGGGCCGAAAAGTCAAATTTGGATTGATGGTTTACTCATTATGATTTTTGTTCAACATTAATACCGTTTAAATTCAATATGATGATTAATCGGTATAGTAATAGTTTCTGTTTCCCAAAGTGACTGTTTATTCTGTATAACACACAATATACTTGTATTGAGCTAACATAAACTATACTCAGCATATGATTTATTATATCTAAGTATTTTTTATATAAGTGATTTTATTCTGATTATTAATCAAAAATAAGTGTATGAATCAATATATAAATGAATGTATTTTCGACTAGACTTGTCGTCGTAGTTGATCGTGCTTCTGGCTGCTTGTGGAATATATTTCCCTCTTCCGAACTTGAACTTCTTTGTCTAGTTAGTAGTGTAATGAATATTGACTGAACCTTCTAATATAAGTTGCTTATATACTGAATTAACATTGAAACATACATCAAAATACATACAATAGTATATCCAATAATAGTAACTACATAAAATATAAATGAATGCAATGAGGATGGTAAATTGTTTATCAGGTCACAGTGTGTCAAAACAATGTATCACCCGTGATTTTAAATCTTAGAAATATTTCAGCGCGGTACATTAATAAACTATGTATGTCTTCTAAATACGAAGAATTCTAATTGGCACTGTGTCAAATAAGAAAAGACTATTAGTTATCTAAGAAGATTATAATGATTTTTTGCACATTCACCTAAAATTAACGTCGATACTTTGTTCTAATTTCTTAAACCTACCGAGCAACTAATATGTGTGACATTGGTGGTTGCCACAGACGTTTTTAAATACACGCTGGAAGGTAAACTTTCCTGTATGAAGAAGGATAAATGTCATTGATTTGGTATTGATCCTGGTTGTAGCAAATTAGTAAGCGTTCAGTTACAATTCTGCTTAATCTGTTCAACTTGAATTCTGTCTCATTCGATCTTTTCTTCTTCTTTACTACTTACCAATAATTATCAGTCATTACTGACTTACGAGATTCGTTTGTTAGTTGAGATATGTAAAAGTATGGAGATATATTTGCGCTGTATATTTCATTTGTTATTCGAGTTTCGCTCTCCTGACAATCTGACAGATCAACATTCGTTTATTGTGTATCACCCGAACATTACTTTACAGTTATAACCTCCAAACTTAGTATGTATTGCTCTTAACTGCAATTCTTGTCTGTTCAGCCTTACATTTACGAATTGATCGAAAGAGCACTCGCTAGGTTGGTGTACACTGGAACTATACAAATGGGCTACAATTTATCTTATCTAATCGACGAATCAGAAAGTGAGCATCGACAACTCAGTCAATTGATGAAAACCAACCGGCTCTTTTATTAACGTGTCGTCATTCTAATTACCGAAAAGCTTCAGAGTCTCAGATTTGGGCGGTTGAAACAGATATACATGTAATATACATTTTGCTGTGCCTGTGTGCAAATATGAAGAAGCGTGTTAAACATTAAAACAGATATTTTGAAGTTATTACATGCATTTCACGATCGTTTGCTGCCGCCTTCTTTTTGGTTTACCTTCCAGCTTATCAAAACCCGGGGGATTCTTATTAATATTAGTAACCGGCGCACGACAATCCCATCCAATTCGGTATCGAAGCAACATCACGTTGATTCCGGTTTGAGAGTAGTGTAGTGACATCGGGCCCTAACCACTCAATCATCAAAGCTGAACATAAGACGTATGAGGAAATAGATGTTCAACATTTAACGTGGAGAATAACCAAACGATGGAGAAGGCGAGAACAATGAATTGAATTAATTCGTGTTGATCGGATGGCATGGCTCGGCTTTGCAGGCGTGGTCCCTGTTGATTGTTATCTTATATATTTTATTCATACTATTACAATCATTGAAAGATGTAACCGCACTCGGAGTAAAGGTTTTGTAAATTTAATCAGGCTGCGGTGTCGAAAACTGTTATATTCTCTCTTATTACAACCAAGCTATTCCTATTGTTTAGTGTTCGTAGGCACTAAATCACTTGACAAGTTCGCAAATCATAACACGTCAGAAGAGGAGGGAAATTGTATTTTAAATAAGAAGAGTAGATGGGAGTGAGAAGCACAATCATAAACGTTGGAATATATATAGATTTTGCATGAGAAGATTCTAGAGTGTTCCTCAAGTATCGACTAGCGCTGATCTAGTAAGAATTAGCCAATCAGCGTTCAGCAACTCAAACGTTCATGAAACATGCTTTAATCCAATCTATGTTACGATAAGAGAAACAGATTTGGTTCTATATGGTTACACCGTGTTTTGTCCATTAAAGAGAATACATAAATGCATTCTTCAACTAATATCATTCCTGAACGAACACCATGGTTTTGAAAGTTGAGGTCAACAATCAAACTGACCGTTTTAGTACTCAGAATGTTTCATTTAGCACATGTGGCATGTGTATACTATTTCTCACATCAAACCCCACTAGATTATATATTCACACCATATACTCTGGGCTTCCATCTATACTATCGGTCTTTTTGTTACTATCGAGTCCGTGCTTATTGAGCCTAGTTAAAGTACGGAGAGTGAACAATCCAATTCATTCAGCGTCAAATTTTTGCTTCAATCTAACTTATATAAAGTACTCACATTGATGTTATATGACAGTCATGTTTTATTATATCGATACCGAGCTTTTCAGAATACCGACGTGGCATACTACCGCAGAACGATGAAGTCCAAGTGCCGTTGGTTAAGTATCGTACTCTACCGTAATTAAAATTAAGACGTAACAGTATCAATCTGGTCAAAAGTGTTATCTGTGATATATTTTGCATTGATTTTCAGAATACATTTGATTATTCCACAGTAACGTCCAATAACTCAATTTTGATACTCGTGAAATCGACGTTTGAAAACAGCTAATTTTAAGATGATCGATTTTATTACCATAACTATTATAAATCACGCATGATTGAGATTACGGCGATCCGGTAGGGAAAACAGAAGTTTAAAATGTTTATGTTCTGAATGTGTTACATCATTGGATCCAACTAGCTGTTCAGTGCACCAGAGTCACACGTTGTGACGTACATGAACAAGTTTAGATGAGAGAACGAGAAGAAAAATGATTCGACGGCTAAGCAAGTGCAAATGGTCTACTTTAATTCAATGCTGAAAACGAAATACAACAATCAATAATAGAACAGGCTCCAGAACTGAGAACTGAAACTAGAATCAGATGAACCAAGGTTATGAACATGTACTGCTATCTGTTAAAGAATAGGAAACCAAGTGCGCACAAAAATGTAAACCGCAGTGTTTAAATTAACATCATGAGAGATTAGATAACTGAAGAGGCTAACGATTGTTGAAAGAAAGTTATTGCAATAATAAGTGCGGAAAATACGAACATCTAACTGGTTTAGGGACCGAATTTATTCAGTTTTATTTATGCTCAACTGAATTGCTACAATCAACTGCTAATATTATCTTGGTGTATGTTCATAGGCTATGTACGGATAAAGTATCACATTTTCTTACACAACAAATCAGTTACAATAATTTTTTGTTATTAGAGATATGCTGAGAGATTATTTTGGTGAACTGAATTGAATGACATACTGATTGAGCTCTATTATTCTCTCTCAACACGTGACCTGCATCTCTCTTTTCATAATTAAAAGAGTCTTGACTCGTCTTCTATTTCGTCATTAATCGTTGATTATTATGTTATACAGAACTTCAACATGTTTTGTAAGCTGAGAAAAATGACCGTTTTTCGTTTACCTACAGACGTAATATTCTGATTTTAGCGCTTACAATAAGTGTATTTTCAGAGAAATATTTCTCAGTTCTTCTATGATATATAGAAATTCTCTACAGTACCACAAGATCTTCTTACGAAATTTTCTCAACTGATTTCATGATCTTCCTTGATGCAGAAAGGATATTACCTAAGACAATTTCACGTGTGACTATTCGAGTAAGAATTAAAACTTAGTAGAATCATCGTGAGACTACCCAATCGCACTATAAATCTACGATTTGTCCTCAGTTAATTTGACGATCACTCAAATTCGGAAACTCATTTAGTTGTACTTCAATCACATTCTGCCTCTATGAGAAAACATACGTTTAAGAACACCAACTTTTTTTAATGAGATTTTCTCTAGATGCTAACTGATGTGCAGTTCAAACAAATAATTTACTGAACTAAGAAAACCTATATGTATCAACATTCATGGTCCAAATATCTTGACCGTGTCATTGACACTATTGTTGGACAAATCAAGACTTCTGTCACAGTAATCATACATTACAGCTTCGAGATCGCTGTAAATATGTGGAAAGCGTTTTGTTTATTATTTGAAGAATTGGAGTGATACATTACAATGGTTTTAATTACAGAATCCATTAAACAGAGAAACGGATACTTTTGCACACACACACATACGATCAATGTTTTTTTTTACAGAATACATTTACGCACAGGATTCATTATCGAACCACTTTTACATTGGTACGTTTCTGAAAATCCTTGACTGTGTTTCACAATATCGTTCACCCTGAAAACGAAGAAAATTAGAATGAAATATATGGGGATACTAGTGGAAAATTTAATGTGCTAATGTGATAATTCATTCATGAACACAATACACAAATTTTGACACTATTTGTTGAAACACATTTGATCTCAACGATTGTAAGCTCGCCACTTGTTTTATTTGACGCTTACAAACATTTCTGCACTGTTGGAACTGCAATTTGAATAAGAGGATGTTTGTACTATTATTCTTGGCTGCATTAAGTAATCGAGAATAAAATAAAGATTACATGATAGTTTTGACAGACGGCAACTGACTGCCAATATTTTAAAAGTCATATTATGGTGATATTTTTGAATGAACTTATGAAAATACAAATGAATTACATGTGTTCGTAGTCTTGGATAGACGACCGTACATCGTTATCAACAAAATGTGATGATAAGCCGCCGCACACCATCTTCAGTTATGAGGGATAGGCAAAAATGAAGAGAATAACGAAAATTGTGTATTAATGCATCGTAGTTATAATACAATGAAAATAACTAACAATCATTTCAATACGTCATGGGACAGGAAAGTTATTTTGAGAAAACCTGAAAGAAGCTTTGAACTATATTTTCCTTAATATTAAGATAAACGACCTAAGGTACGAAGACACTGAAATACTGTGTTATTTGTTATTCACTCAAATAACTTAGTCTACGCAAAAATCAACATATTCATTTCCGATTCTGAGAGATGTTACATGCTTTTTGTATCTTAGTGAATCATTGTCCTTCTTTTATAGTGTCAATAGATCTTGGTTTGCGTCTGTCCATGAATGAAAGTATTTATTATGATTGACATATTATACCTCAAAATCGACAACGAAGTTATTGCTAAAGTAGAGGAACTACAGATGACTGAAGGGTAATGATTTATTCTTGCTTGTAAAATGTTTTTAAAAAAGTGAAACAGAATGAGCGAACCGTGCCCGTTATCAACAAGTGCTTGAAAATTTACCTTAAAATTCTAAAATCGTGAATTCTTGGCAAGTCTGTCTACTTTGAAAATTTGCAAAATTCAGTATATTTTATCTGTATTATTCTAGTTGAATTCAGCCATCAGCGCAGACAACTCAAGCTGCAAAGTGAAATAACGAAGGCATGACAACGATCGAAAGTTTCAAATTTTCCGTTCACCTCCTCGAAAACCGCCGTTTCAGATCGAAATCCTCATAGGCAACCTATATGTTATTCTGCATTGTCAGGTCAACACAAATATGTTAGAACATTAAGCATTATTTAGAATGATTCATCTTTGTTCGCTTAGCGACATTATCCAATTAAAAATGATTTCTTATACGCAAAAATGCTATGATTTATCAGCAAACCTCGTCATTCAAATATTACCCTTGTTGAATATTTTTAAGAGTTGCTGGATTAACGAGAAAGTGAAAATTCAACATTGTCAGTATTCATTTACCGAAACTCCTGATTGTTAGAAAAATGTACAATTTTCAACTCCACTGATTCATTTAAACCTCAGATATTGGGTGTGAATTTTTCAGGGACGAATTACATTTCCATTCACTATAATATTTCGACCTAATACACAACTTCCAAACATAGAACGACTCAGAATTCGAATATCTTAAAGTGATTAGAAAACAAACGGTTGATCCAGAGAATGATCCAATTTTCCAAAGGAATATTTTCGAAGCTACACAATGCCACACAGAAATTCATTTCTCAAACTAATAATCCACGCTATGTCTGTCAATAATAGTGACAGCAATAATGGTAATTATGGCAGATTTCATGAGCATGGGCGACTTTCACCTTACCTCCTATCTCCATCATCACTCACTTACAGGCTTCTAATCATCGTGTTTCTGTTTCTACGCTCTTTCTGACCACAGTTCAACTCAACCTTGACATTTCATATTATCACATCACGCAACCCTTCGTTCACAGTTGATAATCCTTATTCAAGCATACTCAAGTTCGAAGCAACTAGCTCTGGCGTTTCTCAATGAAAATAATATTTGTTAGTCTTTGGTAATTCAATGCATACGTTACCATGTTCAACAAACCTGTCATTATAATCGTTGTAATTTTGACCGTAATTAACAGACATATGGACGACGATCATTCTGCAAAACAGATCTGTATTTGCAATTGTAGAACGCGAAAATAAATTCAACAAAACAAGCATTCATTAACGAACCGATCTATGACGGTTTCATTTTTCAACTGGTATTCTCTGCCTACTCAAAAATATATATCTATAGTTAGCCTCCTACGTGTGTAACATTTCCACTCAAAAGATGATTGAAATGTGAGCGTGCTGATATTCTGCTCAATAATGACTATAGCTCACAATGTTTAACAAGAATCATTGTGAGTTGAGTCTCCGAGCAAATGTAACTTGAGCAGTGTGCACAACTTACTCTCGCAAATGCTGAGAAAAACATTTTTTTTTCATTTAAGCTTTTAGGATTTTCAATTAAACTTCTCCTGTATATCTGAAATAAATGTGATTCAAAGAACAATTTTAACAATGGAGTGGGCGGAAAAATGTTGGTAAGAGGGCATAACACAAAGTTTGTAAAATATCAAGTTTTCAACTACAAATTATATAATTTGTTTAATAAGACAAATCTAACAATTAAGCAGAAAAAGCAATCAAACAATGTTGAAGCTTTAGATGCTCTATGTAGATTGATATGCAGCATGGTTACTTATGAGATTGATCAGTTGTCTATGGTTGTGGTACTATCTTTTTGATGGAGTTTTGTAATCTGTGTGGTGTGTGCTACTTATGTAAACATGAGTAGTATATGACGTGAGTCATGAACAGAAGAGAAGATCAAACAACAAAGAACGAAGAAAGAATGCAATTTGTATGAAAATGCAAGAACAAAGGCAGTCTGAGTTATTTGAGACAATTGATGGACATTTTGCAAATTGGGCATTTACTATATGGTTGTTAGATTATACTAACAAGTTCTGTGATTTGATATCAAACACATACACTGGTGTTCTTGTTCACTATAACTGAGCTGGATGGTTTGATCGTGGAGCTTTCATCGTTCATCTGAACGACATCATCAGCACAAACTTCAGATAGAAGTGAAGTGTTCGAATTTCCCCACATTTGGTTTACAGCTTGTCCTGTACACTTCCATGTTGATTGGTTCTTATTGACCTTAAATTTATCGTTGTTTACGGTTTTGTTTTGGTTTTATCTCTTATTGGTTTGATTCTTGTTACTATGTTTTTGCATAAGTTTAATGATTGATTGATAAATTGGATCGATTTCAGTATGTTTGTTGATTGCTGATTGACCTGAGTGCCAGGCTTCTAAAAATTTTCTTGTGATTTTGGAATTTCCTCTGTCCAAGATTTCCACATTTTTCCAATCGAATGTGTGTCCGCAGTTGTCCACGTGTATTGATATAAGTGAGGAGATATCATGTGGTACTATCGAAAGGTTTCAATTAATTACCATGACCATTCTAGTCTCATTTTAGAGAAGATATTGAACATCTTTGAGCAGTATTTGACAACGGATTGTCAGATCACTACTACACTATCAACCGCTCATTAATGTAATTTACTGCATTCGCCGGAACTTTTATAAAATTCCGAAATTGTAATGCCCTAAACTGTGTGGAGTTACAACAGTTCTCGGACAAAGAGGATATATTGGGAAGTATCCCGCCGTTGAACAAGGCATTGGTCAGATAAATGTTGGTGAGAGAGCTTCCAGTGTTTAGTTAATAAGCATATATAGTCTTCGTTCGTCAATTTCAATCTGTTCGTGCCTCCCACAATCAGAAATTTCTTTCAGTCTGGTTTTGGAAGTGTTTTGCCTCCCTCATGCTTCTTTTTTTCTCGATCTCAACGTGAGAGGTCTAATTCTTCGACAGTTTTTTCATCCATTGACGGCATTTTCACATCCGTATCAAATATGCAAACTGAAATTTTCTCATTAACGCTCATTCTCCTGTATAGCAAACCTCTACTGGTAATCTGGCAACAGAAAGCGCATTTCAAATTACAAAAGAAATGTTGCAACGTTTAATTTAGTTTCGTTTCCGCCCTCCGCAGTGTCCGACACTTGTGCACTCTGAGAATCTGACATGACTTTTCATGCTTATTCGTATCATGGACATCCCAGAATTCTTTCATGTTTACAGGAATCACTCCCTCAAGCGTCATTCTCGATCTGCTGCTGAGTAGTTTCTCCACGACCATCACCTATGCCTGCATCTCCCAAACATCGGTCAGCTTCGCAATTTTGTCAATGTGTTTATGATATATACTGATTTTACCACCTACAAATTACTCCGAGCAGAAACTTTAGTGCTCGCAGACACTGAAGAACCCACTTATAGTTAATCATGGAAAGTCAAATATTTCAAATTCTACCCTCTGTAATATCACAAACATACAAAAATTTCGTAGTGGTTAACAACAAGTCGAAAACCAGCGAAAAGTTCACCATAATGATATTTGTTTATTCAACACTCTAATATGAAAGAAAAGCGTGGACAAGTGTATATCGCATTCTAAAATTATTCAGTAAAATTCAAACAATGTGTTTGACTAATCCGAATCCAAAGAACACACACAGAATGCTTGTATCATTTGTGCATGTTGACGGTTGAAGAACAAAATGAATGTGTTATTTAAAATCACTTACATCAAACGATAGCATAAGACCATTTATACCAGCTGACAATTTATCCGATTTCTGGTTGGTATGAAAATGGATGAAGTTACATAAAAATTATTTAACGTCTGTGACATAAGTAGCAAGTTTTCAACTTCAAATCATATAATTTGTTTAATAAGACAAATCTAACAATTAAGCAGAAAAGGCAATCAAACAATGTTGAAGCTTTAGATGCTCTATGGAGATTGATATGCAGCATGGTTACTTATGAGATTGATTAGTTGCCTATGGTTGTGGTACTATCGAGAGGTTTCAATTAATTACCATGACCATTCTAGTCTCATTTTAGAGAAGATATTGAACATCTTTGAGCAGTATTTGACAACGGATTGTCAGATCACTACTACACTATCAACCGCTCATTAATGTAATTTACTGCATTCGCCGGAACTTTTATAAAATTCCGAAATTGTAATGCCCTAAACTGTGTGGAGTTACAACAGTTCTCGGACAAAGAGGATATATTGTAAAGTATTCCGCCGTTGAATAAGGCATTTGTCAGATAAATGTTGGTGAGAGAGCTTTCATTGTTTAGTTAATAAGCATATATAGTTTTCGTTCGTCAATTTCAATCTGTTCGTGCCTCCCACAATCAGAAATTTCTTTCAGTCTGGTTTTCAAGTGCTTTGACGCTCTCACGTTTTTTTACTTCCAGAGAAGACATTAAATATCTTAGAACATTGTTTGAAAACTGAATGTCAGACCACTTTTTCATTAACAATCGCTTATATATGTGATTCTCTTCGTTTTTTCCAGTATTTCAGCACGAAAAATTAATTGTTTGGAACAATGTCAGCTCAACTGTTCGAGGGAGTCGTCAATGATAACGTTTTGTGGTTTGTGACAAAAGATTATTTCGTAGTACTTGACTTTCCCTAACTAACAACGTGACACTGAAATAGGTCCTCATAACTTCCAACTGTCAAAAAACTCTCTTTGTAAAACATTTTCTCAATTTGAGCTTTTAATATTATTGTCATTAATCCCACGAAACTCGACAACGACAACAGTGAGAAAATAGACTCTACTAACTGTCAACTAATTTCGTTCTGGTCTGAATTTCAACTGTACGCACGTACCGACTGAACAAAACTTCATATGTTTTTAACTTGGTATTTTTAGCAAGTTATTAGTATTAGTATTCACAACCGCTTCTAACAAATTGTTTCTGATTTTGGTGAAAGATTGATTAGTATATCAGTCAGAAACCATGTATAGATTACATATGTATTATATCTCTGCATTTTATTACCATAGTATCCATTAAAATTTAAATGAATAACACATCTTATTAACCAGTCAATTTTCGGCATCAAAAAATCAGTTCTGAAATTGAAGTGACGAAAACTGTGTAAAGATTTAATAATTCTTGAATTAAAAGTACGTTTAAATTTTTCTTACTTCTTTCTGAAGTTTTTCAGAGTTGATTTCTTTTGATAAACAACATAGTTGAGTTCCAAACGGTATAGAAGTACTTGTTTCACAGTTTGTCTGATTTTGTGTTTGTTCTGCTAACCGATATTCACGTAAAACTGCAATGAAAATATCCGTTTATCGTACTGAGTTTTCGTGAATCAGTATAAATTGAGTTTTAAAAATAGTGACTGTTTTAAAGATTGAAATTGGATTTAGTGTATTTGTGTCAGGCGTGAATAGCATTTTATATATAACTAACTAACAGGACAATCTTATAATCGTAACCATTACTCTCAACAAGTTAAGATTTCATGTTTAACAATGGTATATTTATACCCAGCGATAGTAAATTTCTTTGCTAATGTCTATCTGTTTATCACATGGTAGAAACAATCACATTTATACCAAATGGAAAATATTATATCAAATCTTTACTTGTTACATTTATATATGAATAGTTCACGACCAATATTTGAAATTTTCAGATCAAAAAAAAAATTCTAATTTGCATAGAAATCAGATATCGTTTAATATAATTGTGAAAGTTAAAATAACGAATTATGCATTTACAATACTGCTTAAATTCTACTGACCAATTTGACTGAACCACTATTTTGTGAATTCTCAGAGAATACATGTTTTCATCCGGATGAGTAATTCAGATAAATCACATTACCATCATTATTTGAATTGAGCCAAAATATCTACTATAAGCACCAATGTTCTCCGTTCACACAAATCTCGTGGGTTCACAGAAACAGTTCACATACACTCATTTCTCAATTGTTCGTGACCAATTCTAGATACCTGAATATGATGCGAATATGATTCAGGGACAAATAGAGATAATTTAAAACTAACCTGCGGATAAAATGTGTCGACCAATAAGCCAACCAAGAATACCATATTTTTCTGACATTGAATGTGATGCACTCAAAAACGGTGGTTGTAATAACCCAGAAGTCATAGTCACTATACCAAATGCGTCACTTATAAACGGTTGGAAAGTGAATAAACCAGGTCTAAAAATTTGTAAATATAAAACGAATATTAATTTACTGAGAAAGATTGATGAATTTTTAAACCATGAGAAATGACTGGATGAGTAAACCTGTCATTAAGCTAATTTCGTTTATATTTATTCACTGATGATATATTGAACATTGCAATATATCGCAAATATCCTGTTCCATAAAATGGAATTCAAGTAGGGTTACCGAAGTTAGGAGACTCAAACCATTTTAGTTTCTTGCAATCCAACTACTTAATATCAACTGACCCCTTGATTATAGATGCATTCAATGTACAACATGAAACGGAAGAATTTATAAAGTATTATGTTACAGATCGTTATTAGTACTGCTATAATAATGGGCTTAATCCTAAATGTGTTGACATATCATGATGTGACTGCCTAATCTATAAGAGGTTGTGTGGAAGTCGCATCATTGTCTACGCTGGCTACTCCTGCTATACTTAGTACATTTGAAGAACTCACTTAGGCTGAAGAGAGGACAATATATTTAATGCGAATAAAGACACGTTATACAGAAAAACCACGTTTGCGAGACTGAGCCACGCCATCCAATTGAATGATTATCCCCGCGTTCAACATTGTTGGCTTTTCTCCATGTTAAATGTAATATATATTTTTTCCCAGTTTTCTCATGTTCAGATCTGAGGATTATGTGGTTGGGACCAATACATCTATATATGCATTCGTGATTGTGTTTCGAAAAACTTAAGTCTCAAGCGTCAACTCAGTTCACATAATATACCCGTATGTGGTGCGCAGGAAAATGAATGTCACATAAATAGAACAAAACGTGGTGCCTTATCTTTCAATCATGTTGACGTACATATTTCGCAAGTTCATCGTAGATTGACAAACGTCATTGAGGTGCGTATGAAACAAGAATTTTTCAATTAAGTTAGAATAACTGTATATTGAGTCCTATATAATAGTATTAATTAAACATCCGTAATCAAATATGACTACCTAAATAAATGTGATTACACTTTCCCTGACTTGTGTGATTACTTTAGTTCAAAGCAAATTGAACCAATCGCGGTTTTGACTGGAAATGCTACGCCACCATAGTACACTGATACCCTGACAAACACGTGTCGTTTTCTTCTACTGTCATGGCAATTTACCAAACGAAAGAGAATTTCAATATCAACTGACTGTGAATCGCGTTGTTATGAACACTACTTAAACTATAAACATAGAGTGTATTTTGCCTAAATGTGTGTAGTGATTAAGAGTAATAAAGTACAACTCACGATACGTATTTCTTCGAAATGACCGCGAGTCTTCTTGGAAATGTGGCTTTCAGAGAGTAGTATGCATTCGTAAAGTAATTATTTTCAGAGATTTCATTCTGAAACATAAAAGAAGTGAATTTATTAACTATTTTCACGGTTAATGATTTGTTAAATGATGGAAAATGTTATCGCACAGATTTTTCAATCCACGAACTTTCATTTTTTCTAGACACAAAATTCACGTCACTGCAATCCAGTGGTAGGTAAACAAAATGACGACGACTGCCTAAATGATATGGCGGATCGTTCTTCCTAGAATATCGGTCAAAGCAATACCGACTAAGATATGAAATCTGTCAAAAATGATGCATACTAAAAGATGGTGATTGACAAAATGGTATGAAAGCAGTACAAACAATTGTGTAAACCATAATCAATTCAACCTTTTGAAGAGAGATCTACATAGAGTTCAGAGATCTAATGTATATAGGGTCGAGTAGCTTTACGCAAGTCGTGCACTCTTATTTTTGAACAAATGCCCCTATTCAAGTACTGAAATAATGATAATTGTTAACGTCACCTTGAATGGACACATTGAAATATTTTCTCTGAATGATCGCACCTCTGAAGGAGAATAATGTATGAGAACACGTGACACTTTCACTACTTTTTTCATTTTTCATGAAAAGTCTCGAACGGAAATATAATTCACGAACGTATTAGATAATGATGTTTGACAGCGAACACACAGTATAACATACGTCATACATAACAGCAAGAATTGAGTGGATGATCAGTAAACAAATCAAAGATCAAAAGTATCATTTCTGAATTGATTCCCATTTCAGATTTATAATCTTAATGTTGAGCAACATTAATGGCGAGACTCTAACTTATGAACGAACCAATCTGAAGCGTTTGAGAAATTTCAAGGTTCCGGCGCCAACTTCAGTGCTTAATGCTAACATACGATCGGTTCACAGGGAATGTTGTACAAAACGTGATAACTGAGCGGCTATAGCAAATAAAAGAGACTATAATTTGTGGACGAATCAACCAGGTATAAGATAATAGATCTTGGATTTTAACGCGAAAGCCATTCATCCATTTGGCTAAATAAATTTCTGGCATTATAGCTGATGTCAGTTCATGATGAAAACCCTATATACAATTCTTAACTAAGGCAAATTACGACAATAATCGCGAGCTGCATAAGAAAAGCACTAGTCACACTGGCTGAAACCAGGTACTACAATATATGCGGATGATGTGAAAGCCTACAAACTCCTGCATAGGCCTGGTTATGCGCATCGTGTCGTTATCCATAAGTGGCATTTTTCAAACAAACAATATTGGAGCTATGTGGTCGAGACTGAAAGAGTTTTTGAGACGTTATCGTGGCTCCAGAGACCGACTATTCAGTAGCCGTATGGATGATTTCTTCTACTGCATGCATTGCGATTTTAGAACATCTGAACCTCTTTCTAAACTTGAAAAGTTTTTGAATCACGTAAAGGAAGTGTATCCATTTTATTTCCTTAGTTTCGTATAATATGTTTTTACTTTATACTGACTGTTTGCTGATTGGCTAATATTTTTCAAGATCACTTAAGATTTGTTCAAAGGTCATCCATAAATTAGAGTCTCGCCATATTAACTGTTAGGAAACTTATACTAGTTACCATTTTACTTTGTCAAATTGGTCGCAAAATCATTTGAATCAATTGTACATTTTTAACGTAAGCGCAATAGTTTTTTTGAATTTTTTTCGCATATATTTTAGCATATTGATCGATCAGTTTTTAATAATTCAGTCGAGCGTGAATTGTGAAGCAAATTTTTTGAAGACCAGTCATTAAGAAGATACACGCGAAAATGAAAACTCCACTAGTACCTCAGTAAGCAGAACAAACATCTCAATGACAACGCAGCTGAAAATGAAGCTTTGTCTCTACGAATTGACATCGCTATTATAAAACCCACTTACGTACACATAATTGTGAACATTTATCCGTTTACGCATAGGTGGTCATGAATGTTCGTGATTGTTTTTCTAATGAGCTTGACACCTTGAAGCTAAATACTTCAGTTTCTGTTCAAGACAGTTTGAAATATATGAGCGACGACTAATTTTTTACCCTTCCATTCGTTCAATAGTCTTTACTTCGATCTGTCTTGCCACTGAGCTGAAAATAAGCTTGTTTGTAATACAGCTTACATGACAAAAGCGATTCGTATCGGTAACGTAAGATTACGGAGAGCAAACTTATTAGACTGTTTTTAAGTGACATACGTGTAGGAGGTAAAACAGGGACCTTAGTAATGGAAGCCTTTAAGAGAAACACTTAAACGTCTACATGGAGTGGGGATTGAAGACGCTACTCAGAACGAGTAAATAAAGCTTCTTAACTAAACCATCTAGCAGGAAAAATGAAACGGTCGAAAAGTATGGTAATATATGACTGTATACGTTCATGCTGTTCTTCCAATAAGTTGAAAACAATTATATCAGTTGTATGGTGAACAAATTGATAGAAAAACTAAAGTTCTCTAAATCACATATGGAGACATTTATTTAGCTGAATCATTGATCATCAAGTTAAGGAATGATAAAATATTTAGTGTTACAGTTAAGGAACTTACCTCGAGTATTATATCTCGGTCTTCGAAATCCCCACTCAAGCCTTCTGAATCGATTATTGATACATCGATTTTGGAAACCTGAATGATGCAATCGCTTAATATTTACACTATCAAAATCGAACAAACCGTTGAAATTGCGTTTCGCTTGTCAACTTCACTGCTCCATGACCCTTGAGACAATAATTCAGTCAATTTGTGCTTCATTTCGTTGAACATTTGAATCACCTATTCAACATAACTGATATAACGATCAAAGTGACTGAATAAACGATGCAATTATCAATGGTAGTTGGAAAAATAATAAATAAAAAAAGGGTTGATTTGCATTATTTCCTATTTTCTTCATATGACATAACTGTTCCAGTTGCAGATTGACACGGATTAGGTTAAACCATCCAATTATATATACATAAATATACATTTATACATGTTTACAGAGAGAATAAAATTCACAAACTACGCATTACATTATTCCTTAGTTTCTCCATGACAATGTGTTCAACGTGTCACAGTATTGACGTATCATATTTGCATTTATTAACAATAGGTATATGATTAATTATTGAATTCAAAACTCACTTCATCTTTTGTACTCTTACTTATGCTAGAATATTCGTGCTGCTTGTTTATTGTCCACCAGAAATTCTCCTTCAATTCCTGAATGCAAGTTGGTGCCTTTTCATCTGAAATGTTTGTTGAAACACATCAACACGTTGTTACATATACTTCAAGTTAAAATCAGACAATGTTAAACATAACTAAATGAAAGTTCAACAAATAATACTACTCATTTTATTCAAAGATCATATAGATCACGGTATTCATAATTCCTCTGCTGTATTTGTATATTATGCATTGACGGTATCGCTTGAAATGGCAAACAATCGCATGACCTTCAGTTGAACTGCATTTTATCATTCAACTCATACGGAAAACCTAATAAACATGAGCAGCGAAAAACGATTTGACTGAACTACAAAACTTGGTGCATTAAGAAATTTCACCATGCATCATGTTTGGATATATATGGCCGGTTTATTTGCAAATTAATTTACAGGCTGCTTGACCAGTTCTCTTAATTACATTTTCCAGATCTGTTTTCCGGCTTTCATTCACATAAAGTCCACACATGTATTATGGGGCGTATCATTAATTAACAAAACGTCATTTATCCAAAGTATATTCGATTATATTTATTTGTCATCCATCTGTTTTACAATTTTATTTGCAAAACAAGCAATCAGCCTACAACAAGTCAATAAATAATTATGTTTATGTAACCAGTAATGGTACTCACCAATATCTGAAGGATAAAATTCTTCGAAATATTTCTTCAAGTAACGTCGCATTTTGTGCAAGAAATCTATCACTAACATATTGTGTATATCTCTGCAAGAAACATCACAAACACCACATGGTTCAGTCATGTACAAATAGCATTCAATTTAAAATCGACAGTGTTTGTCGTTCCTAAAAGTCGGTGTAGACAAACTTCAACATCCAGGTTTATCAGACAGACGTTGTATGGAATGCACAGAATACACACACTTCAAACATTTTCTTGTCCGTGTTTTCACCTAATTCCTTCGACGAGAAATAATCTAATATGACAGTCATTTGTATACAGTCTATATACATACGTGATCAAATTGATTTTAACTGGCTCATAAAACAACATTATCATTTTGAACTGACTTCATTCATCCTGATCGCTATGAAATGAACTGTGACTACAGATTGAGAGGAATTTGTGAATAGTTGTTCACCTCCAACCCACATGAAGATTGGATGTGAACAGAATGATTGGTGTGCAACGAAAAACACGTCAGACTGTGATCTTGTTTTCTGATGAAGAATAATTTCTTTGTTCCGTTTTACGCTTAAGATATATGTAAGAACTCAAAACCCACCGGTTATAACCTTGACTTAAGTGACTAATGTTTATGAATTATTCTGTCGTTAGGAATATCTACATCAAAAAGTGTTTATTTTAATTAACAGAGATAAATCTCTGAGTTTTTCATGCGTTATCAACGCTTTATTTAAAATACCTAGAAATTCAAGTGCATGAGTGAAAAACAGAATGCGGAAGGGTGTGACATGTTATTTACGAAAGTAACTTGTTTCTGAAAGCGTAAAACACGATTTTGAGAGAATTACGTTCTTCCGTCTTCTGTGTCCATTTTAGAACTGAAAATTTTGCAAGTCTTCTGCAAGGCTTCTATATTTTGGACATAAACTTCCAAATGGTTATACGATTCATGCACGAATGTATTTTTAAACAAAACGTTCCAATCGACCTGGTCAAAATAAACAATTGGAAATTAATTTGCGAATTCATTGAGACATATCATGCAATTGAATTACTTTTAATAGAATATTTTAATCATTGGTAGTATTATACACAATTATCTTGATTCAATCTATTCTTCGATCCATCGTCATCCGAAACACATGAAAATATTGTATAAACTTTATATACACACACTTGCAATCCGTAGTGATTATCATTGAATTCTACACACTATTTTTCATATCAATGAGTGAGCAAGCTACTGCATATAGGCCTGATTCACAACTTACGACTGGACAGATTTCCATCAGATCTTCAATACTGGTTATTCTTGGGTCATCAACCACGGTTTCTTTATGTACCTAGGAAAATATGTCCACATGATAAACTATATCATTTATTTGATGCATGATTTCGAAGAAATTTAAACAGCATTGTTAAGAATTATCAACGGTTTCAAAAATAGACAAGCACTGGTGATCAGAACTCGTTAGTTGGGACTGGTCCACAGACCTTAAGTCCACATTCATATTAATTACGTTGATCTAATTCTGAAGTCTACGTTATACCACCGTGATCAACATTGTCGATTTCTCAGACAGCCTCGTGCTTACAACATTACCAGTATTGTTTTAACCTACTGGGTTATCTGAAATTTATGACCGTTTTAGATGACACATAATTTTTCACAGTTATCATTCTGCTAATACAATCATAAAATGTTTTATACCCAGCACGCAACATAAATAAATGCGTCTTTGAAAATTAGGAAATTGAGTGTACATGTGTTCACTTGTTCATGGAAATCCTGTATCATTAGGGCTATCTGATGATTATTGATAATCGCATCTAATATATTGGCCAAATGCTACGGTTTTTCACCAACTGAACACATTCTCTTCTCAACAACCACTTAGTTCACCTTCTACTAGGCACCTTCACCCATAAAAATGGTTCATGATACAAACGTGAATCAACAACAACAAATAATTCTCGGTTCACTCACCTTTTTTATTTCCGAATATATTTCGAAAACACCATCCATCATATATTTATTGGTTTGTAGAGCTCCCACGTTTTCTAAATATTTGAAAATTGCTCCTTTTACTTCACAGTCCATACTACCCGACTGTTGGCAATTAAGAGCACGAGACACATTATATACACATTTATTCAAAAAAGTCATGATTTATGAGTTCTTTAAAATAAATGAATCTCAGAGTTTCCCACTCAAACTAAATCAAAAGACCATTCAACCAATCAATCTCAGTACAACGCTTCAATCAGTGATAGTACAATGGTTAAGGCCGTTTGTTCTCGTCTTGACAGACATTGGATTAAGAGTATGCTTAAGTATATCCTGTCGTCATGTCCAACACAATACATAACCATCCTGATGTGAAGACTAAACACCACGTGCGTGGTGGAGAACAACACCTATGAATGCTTCATAGCACGAAGTAAACTAATGCAAGGGATTGAGAATGACTTTTGATAGTTGCCTGCATGTGTTTTCAAAAGCTGATTTACACGTGGCAGCCTTCTCTTTTGTATGCTCACATTTAAACTATGACTTTTTCACCTACGAAATGGATGTGAAGTCAGGTCAGACATATTCGGGCAAATAGAAGGCTGGCAATGTCCATGGAAGACGTCAGAAGAAAGAAGGGAGCTGGTACATCATCAGACCATCAACTGGTTGTGGTCAAACTGAATATAATAATGAAGAATCACTAAAGGGTTGTGCAGGTGATAATACAAGGGTTCAGTACATCCATCTTTGATTACGAGAAAGCATTAGATAGCGTGCACATGGGAACCTGATGTATTCTTCTTTGTTATAATGGAGATCCGTAGAAGACGATCACCATCACGAGGATCTCGAACAGCAGACTTAGTCGCAAAATTGTGTATTGAGCACAACTCACAAATGCATGCCAAGTGAAAATTGGTGTCAAGCACGATTCTTAACTTGTGTTTCGTGCCAGCTGTTCTTTAGACTATGAAGGCTTCCAAATCACAGGATATGTAGTTTGATGGTTTGGGTTAACGAAGGTGACTCAATTCTCCCATCACATGCACACTGAGGAATCAACACACAGATGGCTATCAATGCGTAGACATCTACATTCAAATGTGAGGACGCAAGATCGTGAAATGAAACACATGGAAAACAACCATGTCACCTTCGATGATGAAGCTGTGGAAGAGATGAAATCCCTGCAGCTGTGAGTGACGAACTAGCAGCACAAGGCAAACGTTCCCATGATTGAGGTTGACCCAAAAGTTAAAAGAACTTTTACGAGGATCAAAGATGGAATTTTCAACATTATTGTCGCAGTGGTTGGATAGGTCAGAGCAGAAACTTGGATAAATATCAAGGCCATAAGACGAAGGGCGTATGTATATATATAAACATCTGAATATTCGAAAATATCCAAATCCATTGACCGTAAATCATCATAAATGACATATCCTGATAGACAACAGTCAAGCAATCCGTTGAGAAAAAATCAACAAAGCACGGAATACATTGCAAGACACTATACTGGAAAACGTTAAAACGAAATGGAAACTAGAAGACCAAAATGCAAATTATATGCAGACATCGACATTGTGAATACCACTCGGCATCACCCCGAACCAACATGAGAGTAAAAATTCAACCAGATATCTTCAGTTTATGACTTATATCAAATAACGATAATTCGTTTTACCAAACACATATTGATTGACACTCTTAGCTATAGATTCTGTTCGTGAAATCTGATTTCATAGCCCCATGTCAATGGTTACTCACTTTATTCTTGTTAAACTCACGTACCTTAACCAGTGGCTGTATTCAAGCGTCCTAATGATCTACCTATTTGACAATAATTTTGAAATTTTAAGCGCTCAAGTTAGTCATATCATTAGAAGTTCGACTTTTCTCATTCTCATTACTTGTACATGTATTTTCATGTATTTCTCACTTTTTATTCAAATGAAACTAATAAATTATTTCGTGTGATGACTATCACAACTAGCAACATATAAAATCTATAATATGCGGAAGATTTGTGGATAATATGGTGATTAAGTAGTTTCATCCTAGGCCAATGGATCCGATGTCCGAATGTCGCGGGTGGAGTCCAGAACACTCACTGCCGAGGAGACCATATTTCGAGCAAACTCCAGATCCGGTGCTTCCCAATATTCCATAGGGACATAGCTTATATGGAGTAAACTATCAAAATAGTAGAACAAAGCAAACAAAAAGCTATTTAAATCACTGAAATAAATGTGATTAAATGGAAAAGCTTGTTTCATCGTACCATGTTTAATTCCTTCTTATCAAATGCGTTGAGCGAACCTGCATGAATCTGGAAAAACAAAGCTACATTTACTTTAAGAAAGAAACGAAACGAAATGTCACAACCACAAGTTGATGTCAGAAATCATCAAGTCCTCATTTACAAAATATTTCATTCAACCTATACTACGTAGTTCTTTGACAACTGTATTCGCACGTTATAAAGAGAATAAACATGTGGCATTTATTAAATTAGATGACGTCAGTTATACAATAAAATAGTGTTTCATTATCGAACGAAGGTGCACAGATTTCGAATATCAGCAAACACATCTCTTCCTTTAACTGCACATATCCATATGACTGTCTCGTTCAAGTTAGAGAAAACAAGGAGATCAAAGTTTGGATTGAAGATAAACGAATCGGTGGCGGTGATTTATACTCACTTCGTTCATTGCGAATGTACCGATTTTCAACTGTATCTGGTGACACAAATTAAATAAAATAATGGGAACAACCAATAGACTGAAGTCGAATCCCTTCTTTAAAAAATTAAATTTTGCTGGGCTATGGAATGGCGTGAAATAGTTCAACTGAGAATGTAGTACAAATCATTGGAACAATGTAATGAGCTTCGTGAGTATATGGCAGCACGGTAGCCAATCCCGTCAATTAACTGCATGAGATGTTGCTAAAGGAAAATTCTGGATCGCTGAAATTCCATTCAAGATTGACTCACATACATGACAACCTCTTTAATCATCTTACTGGTTTTCAGCGGACTTTCAGATCGACAGCATTATAAATTGAACAGAGTATCTAAACTAGGTATTTAGAAGTCCATGGTGCATGAACATAATCAAAACATGCATTGTTTGT